CCCCCCGGGGCGGGGGCAGAATTAAACCCCACCACACTGAAGGCGCCCAAGGGGTCGGCCGGCCCCCCAAACCCCCGCCTAGCCCTGGCAGGGGTCTGCCCAAGTGGGGGTTCCCCAGCTGTCCCCCCCCCACTCTGCTCCAGCCCCCAAGCCCTCCCAGGCTCCCCTTGGCTGCAAAGTGGCCCCTCAGAGCTTCCCAGCTTCCCCCTCCCCCACCGCGCCCCCCGGGCCCCCAAATCGCAGTGGCCAAAGACTGGCCCCCCCCGGAAATCGCTGGGGCAGAGCTCACGCGGGGGGGCTCAGCGACCCCCAGGGACCCGGTCCTTTCGCGCCGCCGGCTCCTAGTGAGGGGGGAGCCCCCCGTCCCCAGTCTGCGAGTGGGAGAAAGGACAGGCCCCCCTCCCCCTCCGATCCGACCCCCCACTCACCCACTTGCGCCCCAAGTCCAGCAGGCTCCGCCGGGTCACCCCGGGCAGAATGATGCCGTTCAACGGGGGGGTCACCAGCTCTAGGTCTGGAAAAGAAAAACCCCGTCACACGCGCCCCCAGCCCGGCCCGGCTCCTGCCAGCACCAGGACGCAGCCCCTCTGGGGTGGGGCGGGGGCTGGGTATACAGGGACCCCTTCCCCGGTGCTGGGATGCGGCTGACTCTGGGGTGGGGGCAGGGCACGCGGGGACCCCTGTAGGGCGGGCATGGGGGACGGGTATATGGGGGCCCCCCTGGGACGGGAGATGGAGCGGGGCACTCGGGGACCCCTGTGGGGCAGGATGAGGGGGATGGGTATAGGGGGGCCCCCTGGGATGGAGGATGGGCATAGAGGGACCCCCAGGGTGGAGCCAGGGCACTTGGAGACCCCCCTGGGTGGGGGATGGGTATAGGGGGACCCCCCCTGAGATGGGGCACAAGGCACTTGGGGACCCCCGTAGGTGGGGAGGTATAGGGACCCCCCCTGGGTGGAGGATGGGCATGGGGGACCCCCTGGGGCAGGAGAGGGGTAAAGGGGGACCCCCCCTGGGATGGGACACAGGGCACTCGGGGACCCCCTCGGGGGGGAGGCAGGAGGCTCCGGCTCTCACCGCCCTGCGGGTCCGTCCAGAAGAGGAAGATGTTCATGGTGCCGACCTCGGTGATCTGGTGATCGTCCCCGTAGAGCCACAGGGCCTGCTGGCACCCGGCCCGCACCGCCTCGTCCTGCACCAGGATGGTGGGGGCGTAGTTCCTGAGGACGCAGGGGGCGGCACCCTCAGAGAGGGGGGCACGGCGGGGGGAGGGAGGGCAGCAACCACTGGTAGCGGGCGGGGGGAGACGAGGCAGGGCTGGGGGGGGGGCAGAAAGGGACAGCAGCGCCCCCTAGTGGCTAGCGGGGAGAGGGGGATGGGGCAGGGGACAGCGCCCCTTAGTGGCTGGCGGGGTGAGGGGGACACGAGCCGGGGGCTGGAGGCAGCGCCCCCTAGTGACT